GAAAAAGTGACATTCAAAAATTAATCTTTATTTGTTATTTTCTATCGTATATATGTCTAAATTTTTCAAATTTGTATTTTATACCTAATATTTATTATTTAAAACTAGGGATGTCAACGAATAGTCGACTATTCGACTGTCAGTCGAATGGACTGACGATCGAATAATGAAACAACATTCGAATATTAAAAAAATGCAAGAAAAGGGGGTGAAAATGAAATTCTCATCTCAAGTTTGAAAAAGGATCCTTCGTCAAACTATACAGCTGTAAAGTGTACGTCCTCAGACGAATAAGAGCTCAAATACAGTCACGGTATATAAATAATTTTCCACATTGTACATAAAGAAAAACAGTAATTACATACAGTAATTTTTTCTCAATCACTGACTTTGTTTTGTTATTGTACGTGGTAAATTATGCAACGCTATATTGGACTATGAAATTATTTAATTGACTTGTACCAATTATATTTTTAAACTCTACGAATTTCACATGCTTAGGAACACACAGTATTTGCACAGCCGTGAAGTTTTAAAGTTCGATAATTATTGAAACAATAATCTTACATAAAAGACATTTTGATATATAGCTTGGGCAATCATAAATTAAACAAAAAGTATTAAACATTTTCATCGGATATGTTGATAGTGTACCCATTTCCAATTTATTTTAATTAATAAGATTTCAAAAACACTGTGCTATAAAAAAAAAAATAAATGCACCGAATAGTCGACTATCGTTCGAATAATGCAATCGAATGTTCGACTAAGGAAAATTAATATTTTGACATCCCTATTTAAAACTGTACAATAAACCTCCAAAGTTGGCCAAAACACCATTTTGTCCATTAAAGCGTTGATTTTGGCATGTATTTTGGCCTAGAAGTCTTTCAGGGCAGGCCTGTCCCTAAATAAAACTGTGATATTTTGATAGGTTAGGATGTAAAGAATAACTTAAGATATGACTTTTTAGGGGCACCCCTGCCCTAGGGTCGAAATTCACAAAACCTACAAAAAATAAGGAAACCTGATTTTGATAATCCGTTAAAATTTATACCAAACAAATGTATAGTCAGACTAGCTCAGTTGATACATGTGCTAAGTTTTACATTGACGATACTTTTTTTTTAAAAGTCGAGGGTTCGAATCCATCTTGTACCACACTTTTATAGTTTTAATTTTTCGCCTTTTCAAAGACTATTTTATTTTTCTTTATAGACCTGTGCATTTACTTTCAATTATCTATCCTTTATGCATGCCCATTCTTGATATGAGAAATTCTACAGAGATATCAGATCGTAACAATCCAATGTACAATTGTCAGTCAGGCGGAACAATATAAGCACACTTTCTCCGAGGACAAGAAAAGCTCACTTTGTGTTACTCGATACAGGTATTCTTGGCAGCATCGAGCTGCGATGAATTTCATTTGTATATATTCTTTAGAATTTTATCACATTGACTTTGTCTACATATATCGGCAACTGTTTCCTTGGATATTATTTAGGCCTATATAATTTGCACACATTAATTGCATGTTTTATTATATCCACGGATAATTAGCCTGAACATAAAGAATAGAATTTCAGAGACAGAAGACATTACCATTAAGCACAATGAGAAGTAAAGAAAAATATCAATTATTATGTTTGGAGATAACAAACTCAGAAATCTATGAAAGGGTTCAGCTCCCAACTCTCCTCACTGATATAAAGATTTAGGAAAAACAAATTGTTATATGTATTCAGTCTAATGTCATTAATCAGAACGGAAATCGGCAAGCTTTTTGTAGAGAATAAAACCAAGCCCGGTCATATAGGTCAGATCCCTATTTATAATGAAGTGATCCTTTCATTTGTATACTTTAGATATGGTGATACACTGTATTTATATAATCTTTTTTTCTTCTATGGTCATTTCAAGTCTCTAAAGGTGTCATTACAACATCGAATTAAAACGGGACTGCTCTTCGGTGCGCCGTAACGTCATAAAACGTCGCCATTTTTTATATGTCGTGTTTACCACTTTCCCATTTCGAATGTTTGAGAAACTGCCAAAAATTAACCAAATGCCTTATTTTTTTTTTAAAAGACTACAAAATTGATTGTGGAATTGAATTGGGAGAATGTTAATCCGAATCGTATGTATTTAAAAGTTTTATTTTGAATTCAAACTTGTGTATTCTTTAATAAAACCTTGGTTTTTTGGTCCGTGCGCAGAAGGACAATACCCTGTGCACATTTAAGCATTATAAAAAATTATTTTTGCCTAGACTTTATCAAAAATATTATCATGCACTGAATATGATAAATAAACTTTAACTGAAATTTTCAGCTTATTGCGCCCATTACTTTTCGAGAAAAACGCTTTGTCCACGATTTTACGGGACAACCCTCGTACAAAGATTTGGTGGTGAATCTAAGATGAATACTACATAGAGACGTATAGATGTATCAATATACAAATCAAATAAATTACAATTTATATGTCAATGAATTATATCTATTTTTCCAGACAAGGTAGAGTGTTTGCTTCGTGATCGGGAGGTCCGGGTTCGATTCTCGTTCCCGGTGCCGAGTTTAACATAAGACGTAAAAATAGGTAGTGACTGTTCCTTCGCAAAGCGCTTGGCATCAGAAGTGAAAGTCACGGATCTTTCAGATATGACCTTAAAACGTCACGGTAGGCGCTGGCACGTTAAAGAACCTTCACTGCTCAAAGGCCCTGAGTGCCCAGTGTAGGTCTAAATTTGAAGCCCTTCACCTGCATACAGTGACGTCTCCATGAGTGAAAAATTCTCAAGTGGGACGTTAAACAATATACAATAAATCAATCAATCCATTTATGAAAAACCTGATTTTAATTATTAATGCATAAATATATACGTTTTTCTGATAAAAAAGAAAATACATTGTTTAGATACACGTCATCATTTTAAACTTTGTTTTCTTTCAAAAAGTTTATATAATGGAACTTCTTTGTCGCTGCAGTGAAGTCCTCATTATGGAAAGTCTTGGCCGCTGCAATGATGTCGTTTCCTTAAAGAAAATATTTTTTTATGAGGATCTCTCTGTAGAATTCATAAATTTGATTTGAATTTGGCATGAACGTATGTAAAGTAGAGTTAAATATTTTAGCAGTCATCGTGTTTAAGAAGGATATGGAGATAACGAACAGTATTCAATCTCAACGTCCATTAAACAATATACAAAATAAGAGCAGAGCAAACACGGACCTCTGAAACATCAGAGGTGGGATCAGGTGCCATGGAGGAGTGAGTATCCCCTGCATCTCTTTCGATAAACATTTTGAGCCATTTAAGGACACACTAAAAATATGTTAATAACAATTATCACGCACTTAAATATGATAAATAAACATTTACTGATATTTTCAGCTTAGTGCGCCTATTACTTTTCGAGAAAAATGCTTTGTCCACGATTTTACGGGACAACCCTCGTATAATATGATTAAACTGAGACATATTTTTTTAAAGTTAAAATTAATCCGTAAATATATTAAATGAATATCCACCAATAAACATATCACTGTATACCGAGGCATCCGCGCAATACCAGGGGTCTTGAGTTCAATACGTTGCCATTGGGGCAGTGGCTAATTTCATTCAATTGTTTATGGGCTGACTGTAGAAATATATTTCTGGAAAAATATAGTTCAAATTAATTATCTTATCTCTCAGCTAATCAGATGAAAGAGGCTCATTACAATTACAGCTTATTTTGTACTTATAATGCATACGTCAAACATCCAAATAGGCTACGATATCATAGATATTTTTAATGTGCTAGATTTTGAGTGCTCCTAATTTTGTACACAAACAGTAGTCGGCATTATTTTTATTTGAAAAAAGCCCCCCACCTCCCTAAAAAAAATGTGTTTTCTCATTATCTGTACATAAATAATGTGGAAAATGAAGTCTAAAGAGACAAGGTTTCTGATTGAATACCGATGTGATAAATTGAATGAAAAATGTTTCAATGAAATAAAAATATCAATTTAAATGCAATTAGGAAAAATATCGCGTATAAAACTCCACTTGCAAAAGTTATCCTTCATAATCCTAAGACTCAAAAACACTAATAAAGAAACGTTTAAAGTTACACCTTAATTTGGAATAAAATTTAAAATGTTCAAAGTATATATTCAAAACAATAAAGGCAAGTATATAAATCAACACGAGTACAGTAAATAGTGCAAGTCAATTATTACAATTTTGTAGATTTCAACTCGAATTTCTCCTTACGTAGATCTATATGTTATCATTGATATATCTAACAGTTTTGTTTTTTTTTTACAATTTCATTGCACATAACTTGTTTAACGATGTTTAAGGCTTTTTTAACCTTTGGAGTATGATATGCATTTGAGGAAATTTAACCCTCGCCATCACCATACGCGGGCATCAGTGTTTCACAAACATATCTTGTTTGAATCATTGATTTGACTGGCTGGGGTTGTCTTTTAAATCAATAACTCGTTCCGCCAGTCCTTTTAAACAAAAATTTCTCTTTAAAAGAAAAAATTCAAAAATACTTCAAAAGTTTGCTTTTTTTAAGTTTGTTTATTTGGACTGAGTTATTTTGGGAACATTGTGAGCTGTTGAATATTATTATTCACTGAGAGATTTTTTTTTTCTCGGTAAAGACTTCAGTATCGCTATTTCTTTTCTGTATCAACGTGTAAATGCCCATAAATATTTCTATTCGTTTGAACACCATGTAGTATATTTGAAAGAAAAATCACTTACATGTATTTCTACATACGACAGAATGTTACCAATTTAATTTCTTTGACATTAGCTCAGTTGTAGATCTATACGTCAATTCTTATTTTTGGAACATTATGACAAAAGCCTGATTCGAAGAATACTTTTCTATGATTATAAGCTAGTTTGAAAATCAATTATGAAGAAAGTATAACATTAAACCAACCTTACATAATTTCTGAAGATATTGAAATCTTTATATATGTATATATTGTAGATTCAAGCAACGAAGATACAGACGAAGTTGATGGAAGAAGAGGTCTTTACTTTAGATTTCTTTAATATTCAGATATCCCCTTGAAATCTTCAATATGCTTATAGTTGTAATAGATATAAACACTTTTACACATAAAAAATAAAAGTACTGATTATGCTTGATTCTTTTTGCTAATAAATTGTGATACATAAATTAATAATTAATGTTTTGTTTTTCTGTGGTTCTAACATTATTTACCTACTTGTGACCATACAAATTTTAATTTCAGATGGATATTTGAATGTTAAGATATCTGAACTTTTTGGTTTGATCTTCTTAGCCCTTTTGAGAAAGAAATATTATGATGGCGCCAAGCAACTTATAGAGACAGGCTGTGTGCGTTTTTATGTTGTTTATAAATATTGTTTGGACAAGTTTTTGCTTTGATTTTTTAGCTATGGGGAACCGGAGTGAGTTATCTTATCTTGCACCGTCAGAGGTCGCCACAGGAAAATGCGGTCCAACACAAAACAGCTGATAATGGCATCTCTTCATCTTATCAGTATCAGTATTCCTTAAAACCAGAAGTCTCTGTCGAGACTGTAGCTCTACTGGTTTGTACTTATCAAAAACCATTGCACTATTTTATGTATCTTTGTGTAGTCTACTTGTGTGCCAACTATTTTGAAATCAGACCAAAACTGTAGGAGTAGTGTTTTAAAGGAATTTCACAGAGAATTCTAGTTTTAGTAACCATGGCGACACCGTTCACCGAAATCAAAAACCGATGCAATATTCTATGTATCTTAGTGTAGTCTACTTGTGTGCCAAGTTATATTGAAATCAGACAAAAACTGTAGAAGGAGTAGCGTTTTAAAGGAATTTCACAGAAAATTCTATTTTTAGTAACCATGGCAACATCGTTCATTGAAATCAAAAACCGATGCACTATTCTATGTATCTTAGTATAGTCTACTTGAGTACCAAGTTATACTGAAATCAGACAAAAACTGTAGAAGGAGTAGCGTTTTAAAGGAATTTCACAGAAAATTCTATTTTTAGTAACCATGGCAACACCGTTCATCGAAATCAAAAATCGGTGCACTATTCTATGTATCTTAGTGTAGTCTACTTGTGTGCCAAGTTATATTGAAATCAGACAAAAACTTCAGAAGGAGTAGCATTTTTAAGGAATTTCACAGAAAATTCTATTTTTAGTAACCATGGCAACACCATTCATCGAAATCAAAAACCAATGCACTATTCTATGTATCTTAGTGTAGTCTACTTGTGTGCCAAGTAATATTGAAATCAGACTAAAATTGTAGGAGGAGTAGCGTTTTGAAAAATTGTTTACAGACAGACGGACAGACAGACAGACGGACGCCGGACGCATTACTATCGCATAAGCTCTTCTGGTCTCTGACCAGTAGAGCTAAAAACGAACGTGTTTTATATTGACTTAAGTGAAAATTTATAATAGAAAATGATGGCAACATTGCAGAATGTCAGTGCGAGTGTGCAGCTGGTATGGGACCTCTAGCACACTGTAAACATATAAGCACGGCACTGTTTGCATGCCTTTCATTAAAAACACATGGATCTGTGAAAACTGAACAAACATGCACACAAAAGCTGCAAACATTTCATAGAGTCAGGCCACATAGAGGAACCCCAATGAAAGCGAATAACCTGGATATGCCTGGAAGTGATGAAATTTGTAATTTCGCAGATGAATTTGATCATTGGCCAGTCGAGTATAGGAATAATCCAGGATACAAGTCTGACTTCCAGAATGTATGCCTTTAATATCCAGGAGAAAGCAAGACCCCTTTATTTCAAACTTTACCTACAGCAAACATGAGGCGCATTGATGTGGATCATGACTACTTTACTCTTTAAGGAAGCTATGAATATTTAAACAGTGTAAATGTTTCAATAATAACAGAAGAGGCACGAACTCTGAATTTAAATACAGCGAAACAGACTGCATGCAATATGTGAGACACTTGTTACAAAGAACGCAAACTTATTATTGCACCAATTCTCCATGGACAAAAGTTTGAAAAAGTTGCCATAAAAAAATTCCAAGACATTACTGGACATACAGTGTATGACACAGGAATATGTGTAAGCCTTACAAATCCGTATTTGGCCGCTTCACCGGATGGAATCATCAACGAAGACACTGTTGTGGAAGTGAAGTGCCCTTATGTTGCAAGGAACGAACTGATCTCCAGACAGACAGTCCCATACATAGAACAAAATGACGGCAAATTCTCATTGGACAAAAACCATGATTATTACTATCAAGTTCAGGGACAACTTTTTTGTGCAGAGAAAAAAATATGTTACTTTATTGTATATACATTCAATTATATTTTATTTTTCCCCAATTCAAAGAAATGATAATTTTATTTCAGAGATGATAAGAAAACTGAATATTTTCTATGAAAATCATTTTAGGACTGCTGTTCTAGAAAAAATTATTTCAAATCTTATGAAGACTGTCATTGTTCAAAATAAATATGAAAGATTAAGATGCATTCAATTTTTGTTCATTTTCATTGTTACAATGATGCACCAAGTTTGAAAGCCAACTTCAAATATAAAACCCAATATTATATATATGTAATGAAAACAATTTATTTACTTTACTATGCATATGATGGGACAAAACAAGTTTTAAAATTATTAATTTTCTTTTGACACCCCTTGTCCTAGCTCTGTCAGCTCTAGCAAGTACAGCTGGGCTTGTTGGATCTGCCCATTGGAAAAGACTGGGTATTGCTGTTTTCCGTAACCTCTTACTTAAAGGTGTATTTCCTGAAAATAATATTGATATTTTTAAGCAAAAAATAAATATTTCAAAGTTTTTATCCTTTCAGTATCGAAAACATTTAATGATTAATATGAACATGTGTATTTGTAAAAAAAAATATTTATATATACATGTATATACATATAAGTAACTTAAGTAAGTTAGACTGAAGATGCTAATATATCTTTTGTTTGATAATCAGTTTAGAGGATAAGACTAATATGTAATTAGCAAATGCAGTAGAAGGCTTCATTAACAACAGGTGGTCTCATTGAACAGAGAAATTTGACTATGTCAGATGTTTACACAGGGCAGTTATTTTACGTATGTATGGCATGTTCCGATAGTGCAAATCAGCGGGGTGTACTGGCTTGCATTGATGTCAAGAGCTGTTGTTTACGATCATATAATTTAACTATTTTTGGTTCATGAGAAATGAAAAACATAAATAAAAGAATTACGGGAGTTTACTGAAAGAAAATAATAAAACCTCAAAAATGTAATCCGCGAAATCTAACGTTTTATATTTATATTCTATGCTTAGAATTTTATACGATTTCATACCTACATTTTTAACATTTTATCTAAACTAATCTTCTGCATTATAAATTTATGTAAAATAAACTGATTTGTGATAATATTAAGAAATACACAAGATTTTTAAAGAATTTTACCGTGAACAGTCTCTGCTAAATAATCGCTCTCTTTGAAATGCGATCTGCACACAACGGCATAGGCAGAAGGTTCCCAGCTCTGGAAACGTGTTTCCCCTCGTCTAATTGCGTGAATCCATGATTTTCGTCTCGTTTGATCTGATGGGAAAGCATGTCCACCTCTATTACTACAACCAGGTACGCAACAGCAAGTCTCCGGCATGTTTCACGTGTGTATATGACAGCGATTTGTTTATATGTGCTATGAAATCGTAATGATAATGCGCAGCTAGTTCCGAAGGGGACCGCATTTTTCGGCGCCATCTAAGGGAAAGATAACCGGCGCCGGAAAACCATTGTTCAAATCATGAGACCCAGAGGTAGGTTGTGTAATGGGCCATCGAAATTTAACATGCACATAGAAATATCTAAAAAATATATATATATATATATATTCTTGAGAACAGAAAATGTGTTTTGGTTATATTTATTTATAAATATTTAAGTAATACATGACTTTTTCTACGTCAATAGGTCAGCAATATGGTCCTTCGGATTCTTGGATATTTTCATCAATGATGTAGCCATGGTTACTACAATTAAAAATGTTGTCTAATTCTTTAAGGTGTTATATCCCTCTGACAGGAGAGAAAACTTTCTGAAGACTTCTTTTCCTATGTAATATAATGAATTGTCTGGTAAAATTATACAGCCTTTTTTGACGAGGACCATTTTATACCCGATTCAATGAAGTTATATTTATGGTACAGATGTTGATAGATAGTTTCTATTGCCAATATTTTCATTTTTATTTATAATAGTTTACCTTAAACATTAAAACTCAGTTCCTTTAAACTGTGTAAATTTAGATATTTCTTAACGTATAAATCTTTTAATTGTTCCAGAAATTTTAGATGCAGAATTGTTTACAATCATTTGATTAATATTTTGTTACACTCAAATATTTTCAAGGGTGATAATGGAAATTCTTGTTGATGGATACATATTAATAAACAAGCACATAAAACAGTTTAATATTCTGATTTAAAAAGCAACACTTCATTATATTTTCTAACGAGTATTAGATAAGTATGATAGTAAATATTATTTATATATACACCTCATATTTTAAATTTTATTCTGATCCTCCTAATTACTACGTCATTTTGTCCCACACCATGGTTAGACATAATATCAGTTTCTGAAATAGAAAGCAACGTTTAATACTTTAAACTCCATTTGAATCTAATTTCATTGTTATTGATGAAAATCAATGTTTAGATTTTTTTAAAATGGTATAATTAGGAGCAGAGGGATATCTCACCTTTAAAAGCTTCTTTGCCTACATTTTTTTTGCAATACATTGATTGATTGTATGATGTTTAACATCCCTCTCAATAATTTCTCACTCATATGTAGACGTCTTTTGCAATAAATTTTGCAACTTTAGAAAAAAGGATAAAAAGTTTTGTTGTTGCTGTTGCAAAGTATTAAGCCTGCGTGCAACTATTCTCTTCCATTACTATGAGTTCAAGCCAGTAGAGCTAAAGTCTCGTCAGTGACTTCCATTGATACTATAATTAAGTACCCAAGTTGTCATACAACTATTGATAGAAATTAAAATTTTATCTTCAACTGTTTTAAAACTTTTCTGTTTCTATTTGTCATTATTTTGAAAAGTGTCATTATTAACAAACACTTCTAACATGGAGTGGAAGGGTAGAGTAAAACAAATACTAGTTGATCAAATAGGTTCGTATTCCCCATCTTTTGGTTGGGTGTGTAATTCTTCAAGACACAGCAGATAATTGGCAAACCAGTCAACTTGAAAAGGACAAACTGTTAAGAATGAAAACGTAAGTAAAATCGAATTTCCCACTTATCCTTCTTTCGATTGTCTTAATAATTTAGCTGATTTATTGACAAATTTTTCATCATATGCGTGAATATAAGTCGTGATATGTTAACCTATGGTTATGATAGTCGAATGTAGTATATACATTTACATTTTTTTCGTTGATTTAGTATGAAACTTTGTTGACTCTTACAACACCCTGATCATAATAGCCTGAAATGGAAACTTAAAAATTATAACGGAAACTACAAAAATACAACTTTTAAATACAGGTAACTCTCGAAACCTCGAAGTCCGCGGGACCGAGGAAAAACTTCGAGAGATCAAGAGTTCGAGTTTTCAAGAGTCCGGATTTTTCCGAGTTTGTTTGACAGGTTTTAAAATTAGTCATATCGGATGTGTTGATTTTCATGCAGTTCTTACCTTTTGCACGTAGTCTTTACAAAACAACGATATGTTTTCGTATTTTAAGTGAATATTTATTTAACTGAGTAAACGAAAAAATGGACATCGTCAGTTCGTATTCCTGAATTTTTTTTTATCAAACGGATATCATTCTACTCATTCGTTATATGAAAAAGGCATAGACCAGTGTCGCGTGGTACATAGCATTGTGACTTTTCCAAACATGTGCATTGAACGAAATTCTGTATGTATTTGTCCAAAAAAAGTCGTCATATTGACAGCAAGGCTGTTTCTGAATTTTCATATTTCGTTAAACTTTGAAACTGAATCGAAATAAAAATTTAATTCATCAATTCTTTCGTCTCATAATCTGCATACAATTTCTCAGCGACACTACGTTTCTGAATTATCGTAAAAAAAACGATGATAATTATTTTGATAGCATATAGGCACCATAAGATTAGTTATAAATCAATTATAACCTTGCAGAATAAGTGTCACCTGAATAAACATCCCGTTTCAGGAGACCCGCGTCTTCTGCCTGGGGTCATTAAATGTCCAGGTAAAGTTGCTAATTATGTAACTTTGTATACACATAGCCACTTCGAGGTATCAAGGGTGAATTTCAATAGAATATGTACAGCGGGACTGCAATTTTACTTCGAGAGATCAAGGGTTTCGAGAGATCAAGAGTTCGAGAAATCAAGAGTAAATTTGCTTAGTTATATAGGGAAAAAATTCGGGACCGGAGACTCACTTCGAGCGATCAAGAGCTTCGAGAGATCGAAGTTCGAGCCATCAAGAGTTACCTGTATAAGGAATTTTCATGTAAAAACATTATAGATAAAAAAAGTAATAATAATTTCTTTCTCCATTTTCTAAGGCTTTTTAACTTCTTTAATATTTTTCTGTCTTTAAAAGGGAATTTAAAGTCACGATTTGCTCAATGTTATTGTTTTGAATAGTTTGTGCACCCAGCAGGCCTTGCGAATTACAAGTTGTATTCATGAGGCGGATACCAAACATGACAAGAAAAAGGCTAGAAATGATGAGAGGGATGCAGAAGTGCCTGGACATCAAATTAACCACGCTGGAAGACTTTTACTAAATCATGGATACTTGTCAGATGCAATAAAGACACAAAATAGCGTGTACTTAAATGATGAGATAGTCAAGAATGTCATTAACAAGATGTGGTACAATAGCGAAAGTATCTCTTTTCGAAGAGTAAGTAATTTTCACCAAGCTTTATTGCTCTATATGGAAGAATGTATGTTCGCAGCTAGGTTAATAAAGGCCGCCCATAGAAATGCGCCTCATATTATTCTGACAAAGTAAATATTTTTATCAGCATGAGTTGATAAATAGGAATAATTATATTTATACTATACTATTTGCATATTATATATACATGTAGGATCCTTCCCAAGGTCGGCCAAAAGCAACTTCACGTGCATCAGCTTTTTGACATGTGACGTGTTTAAAATTAAAGGAAATGTACATTTTACAAAGATCCTTAAGTATGTTCTTTGAGTTTTTTAAAAGACAATATGAACTCCAAAACTAGAACCGTCCAAAAGGGTCGAAATACCCCACGCTGGGTTTTTCAGGTGCCAAATCAAGAATATTTTATGGAATATTTTATGGATCTAGAGAAGAGAAAAATGATAAAACATTTTCGGTGCAGATATAATTCTCATTATATTCTTTGTGATTGAAATGAAGGTGCAGCCTAATAAAAAAATTGAATACAAGAGATAAACAACAGACAAAATCTATGAACTTTTTCTGTCAGTGACCTCGAACTTGCATTTATAACCTTGGTTGAAAGACATGAATTATGATTTTTTTTTCTGTCAGTTTCCTTGAACTTGCACAAATGACCTTTAGTCAAAGTCATGACACATTCTCAGTCAAAATGGGAACTCACCATGTTTATCCTTAAGAAAGATAAAAACCAGGCACAAATTATGATATTTTTCTTCAAGTATCCTTTCCGAAAAGACCTTGGGTTAATAATGTCTATATTTTCTATTATAAAGCTGTTTAAAAACGAATTGATAGGTCACATATATATATAAATAATGTTACTGAAAAAAGAAATACATAAAGTAATGATTTTTGTTTTGCTTCCAGGGTTTACTTTTTCTGTTCCTCACCCTGTTTCATTTTGTGTTGTTGCCAGTGTTGATGATCACGATGGAAAACAGGCCTTTGCAGTGGTACAATTGCATAAAATTGCTTTAATTTTATTTTCTATTCAATTTGTTATTATGGTCATGCCATTTGTTTTGAGACGTCAACTTGGAGCTTTTGGATCCAACCCGTCTGAATTAATTTACTTTGATCAGTTAAGATTATACTCAGTATATTTCTTTTCAACACTACACTGTACATATACATGAACTTTGTGAAAAGTGCTGTGAACCTTTATATATTTTAATTTTTTATTGCTATAATTGCACTTTAGCTGTTTCCGAGCTTATCTTTTTGAGTACAAGCTCATAGGTTAAGAGTGAGAACAAAATCTGGTACCTAAAACAAAAAAATTACTAACCCAGCTTAGGAGTAACAACGAATCAATCGAAATTTAAAGTTTTTATGTAGAATGCACCTTAACTTAGTCTGTGACAAAAGCTCCAATTCATCATCAGCCTGGTCGCTTCAATTAGCGTTTTGTGTTCTTTGCTTCTTTTCTGTTTTTATTTCAGGAAAAACATGCTTTTAACAAGTAACTATTTTCATGTTCTTTCATTGAGAAAAATCTAAATTATGATCAGAACCAGTCGCAAAATTATTTTTTGCGACATTTTCTCTCTTTTTCTAACACAGACCTTCACGCCGGCATATTTATCATGAAACACTAAGGCGCTTCATGAAATATGCCGACCTAAAGCGTCATAGTTTCATGTCATCATGAATCTTCAAAAATGAATTCCTAAATTGTACAAAATGTAACTTGATCAGCATCTAACTGCGTACAAACTGCGTCAACTTTAACGATACGTCTAATGACGTCACGTTGACAATGCCATCAGTGAATCGTTTATATCTTGCTGTGTGAACTTCAACTAACGAGAAAACTGCAAGTAGTAAATATTTAGTTTTGAGTATAAAAGTTTAAATTAGCAAATATTTTTATTTTGAAAGAAGATGGGTGTATTTGGCTATTAATCAGCAGGAATCGTTTGTACGAATCATTAATGGTTTAAATGTCCAAGATTTGGTTGGGTGAACAAAGTTGGTCATAGTTTACAAACACAGCCATAGGATTTTTCTATCTATTATTTTGAAATACCTTGTCAGATTGTAACGTTTATTATCAATTTTTCCTAAGAGTTACAATAACAAAGTAATGATTCAAAACAAAAAAAAAATAAACATAAGATTAAAGGCATAGATGATAAGTGTACTTGTACATCAAAGAATATATAGAAGATTGGAATTGATTTCGCTCTAGAACCAAACTGAAGCAGAACATATTTAATTCAAAATTTTAATACATCAGTACATGAAATGAAACTGACAAAATAATTGATTGTTTGCATTTTAAATGGAAAAAAATTAACGCCCCATGCGAGGCTCAAACCAAAACTTTTCACGTCTAGTGCACTGGAAGGTAGCCCATATTACTGAGCTATCAACGCTACACAAACAGTACGTTTTTAACAGGACAAAGAAGCATCACATATACACAGTTGGATTTTTTTGAAAAAAGTTCATTTTTTTATGGTCTCTTGGTCTTCTCTCCATTTTTTACAAATGTATATTCATTTCTTTGAATTAAAATGCAACCATTCCTCACGATAAATTAAAGTCCAGGTTTTTTGATATCATTTACAGCTGCTTTTTCATTAAAAAAATGAGCTCGTAAATTCACTTACCTCGTCATTGGTCATTCGCAAAATTATTTTAATAAAACACATTCTGATTGCACACACATGTACTCTGAAGTTTACTTCAAAAAGATGCTTGACTTTCTGATTGACAGTATCTATGTGGTTTTTGGAGACCAGCTCTCCCAACAGTCTATTGGAATTCCAATGGGTACTAATTGCGCCCTGTTACTAGCAGACTTATTTTTGTATTCATATGAAGCAGAATTTGTGCAAAATCTTATGCGTGAAAAGAAGAAAACAGTTGTTTTGGCCTTCAACTTGACATTTAAATTTATCGACGACGTATTGTCAATTAACAATGGAAATTTCCATTCCTATATCGATACGATATATCCTGGCGAGCTTGAGATAAAAGATACCATCGAGTCTGACACATCTGTTTCATACTTGGATATTTTACTTTAAAGAAGACAATAATTCTAATCTAACAACCAAGCTCTTTGATAAAGGTTATAACTTTAACTTTCTATCGTCAACTTCTCTTACCTATGCAACAATATACCTTCATCATCTGCATACGGGGTTTACATATCTCATTTGATTCGATACGCTAGAGCATGCTCTACGTATGAACAATTTCTAAAAACGAGGTAAATTATTGACAAACAAGTTGATGAAACAAGACTATCAGCAGTTTTGTTTAAAGTCGTCATTTCGTAAGTTCAGTGGTCGATACCATGACCTTGTCAGCAAATACAATTTATCATTGAGTCAAATGCTGGCTGACATTTTTCATACTAATTGTTAGTCCATTATATATACACTGAATTGACGACGGATTTTTCTGTTTTTTCCCGATCATGACAAGGAGCACACGGGTGTGACCGGTCAGCAGGGGATGCTCACTCCTCCATGGCACTTGATTCCACCTCTAATGTCTTGGAGGTCCGTGTTTGCTCTACTCCTATTTTGTATTGTTTTATGGACTTTTGATCTTGATTACTGTTCGTTATTTCCATATCCTTTACACATATAACATTTCAAATTCATGGAGAGAAAACCTAGGAAATTAGAAAAACGTGTTTAAAAACGTACCATTTTGTATGAAATGTCTGATCTAGCCAATTTTCAAGTTATTAGCTCTACTGGTCAGAGACCAGAAGAGCTTATGCGATAGTAATGCGTCCGGCGTCCGTCCGTCTGTCTGTCTGTAAACAATTTTTCAAAATGCTACTCCTTCTGCAGTTTTGGTCCGATTTCAATATAACTTAGCACACAAGTAGACTACACTAAGATACATAATTCTGTGCATCGGTATTTGATTTCGATGAACGATGTTGCCATGGTAACTAAAATTAGAAATTTCTTTGAAAAACATTCAAAATGCTACTCCTCCTACAGTTTTGGTCCGATTTCAATAAAACTTGGCACACAAGTAGACTACATTAAGATACATAATTCTATGCATCGGTTTTAGATTTCGTTGAACGGTGTTGCCGTGGTAACTAAAAATAGAAATTTCTGTGAAATTGTTTCAAAATGCTACTCCTCCTACAGATTTGGTCCGATTTCAATATAACTTGGCACACAAGTCGACTACACTAAGATACATAATTCTGTGCATCGTTTTTTGCTTTCGATGAACGGTGTTGACATGGTTACTAAAAATATAAATTTCTGTGAAATTCTTTCAAAATGCTACGTCTCCTACAGTTTTGGTCCGATTTCAATATAACTTGGCACACAGTAGACTATAATAAGACACAAAATTCTGTGCATCGGTTTTTATTTTGATGAGCGGCAAGGATCATTTTTCTATTTATTGCTATTTTAAAGTCTCAAGTCCCAACTGCTACTTTTCTCTGCCTTTGTTTTAAGTATAAACCAGTAGAGCTACAGTCTCGACAGAGACTTCTGGTTTTTTAGCAAATCAATATTCACTTTCGGGAAAATATTTTCCTTTCCTATTGCAGAGAAACCTATTAAATAAAAAAAAATGTTAAAATTTCATGTGACATGTCGAAATTTTTTTTAATTTTCAATTACGCCCATATTCCTGCCAAATGCACATTATCAGCGCTTTAATTTTTTTTATCCTATGATTGCGTTCTCCGTTTACAAAGCATACTATATGTCATTTTTTAAAAATGATTTTTGCCTTTTGTCATGATTACTATCTGGTACAGCTTTCCAGCTTTAAAATTTCAAGGTCTTAATTATAATAATCAGAAATTATGGAAATATTAAATTTAATTACGACTTTTAATTTCCAGGTTATACAGACAATACAAAATCCCTGCTATGAAGGTTCTACTTAATGCTGTATGTATTTTTAAATAGTTTAATTTTCAATGTATTAAATAATGTAAAATTGCTTTTAAAATATTTTACAAAGAGTAATCTCCTTATCTTACTCGGAAAACAGTGTTTGCTTGCACCCCCTTTCGGTTTCAGAATAATGTGGTCCTCCACCTCATGTACATTAATCATTTTGACATCGGATTGCTATGTTTACCTGATTTAATACAGGGCTCATGCACCTTTTCCAACTATTCTAGATCTGTTTCCAGGGCCCCACTGTTCATAATCTGTACAGCTTAAACAACTTAAATACTCCAATATGGTTGTCTAAATTAATTGAACTTCCATTTTGAAAGTATGAATGTTGCTAAAAACCATTTTAAAAGCGTAAGCAAAAAAAAAATAAAAAAAAAAAGAAATCATTTCTAATGATTGTCAAAGAAACTGAATTTTATCATCGTTGAAATACAATTGAAAATTTTAGCTTTAATTTGCCTAAATGACTTAAGACATTAATATGAATATTCAAAATGTGCATATGAATAATACACAATTGCACGTAAGTTTCTTTTAGTTAGACTGTAAAATGATACATGAGAAGTATCAGTATTCGCTATTTTCCCCCTTTTGATTTATTTTTTAATCTAAACCATGTGCAATTTTCTTGGATATGATTACAGTTGACTTACAATTACACAATCATTTGTAAATATTTTTAGCAGCAAATGTTAATTTGTCTGTATAATATCTTCCATAACAGTTTGGCTGGTTGACTGTTTTAACAGCATTTACCTACATGTTACTATTTGGTTTTACCGACGGAATCACAACATGTGATTGGTTTTTGATTGGATGGATGGCAAGTTTTTTCCTTGACGAATCAAAACAGGTAAAATAATTTTAAGTACTCTCTAATATGAACATGATGAACCTCAAACAAATAATGACCACAAAATTTTGTTGGCATTTGTAGATAAACATCTATAACATTTCACATTCGCGATCAATTTCATTGAAAAAAGACCAAAAATTAAATTTATTGATTTCAATTACTGTCCATCTTCCTTTCTGTCTTTTCAAACATGATGGAATTTCCGTCTCCACCTAATGAGCGGATTGTTTTTAAAAATGGAATTGGTTTCACAAACTTTTTCAATTTCCCGTAAACTAAATATTAATTTGTTTAAATATAAACTGCACATTATTTATCTTTTTTACATGCTTTTTGGATTTTTTTTTTAAAGAATCACTGTCTAGTTAATATAGTATGCCAAGGCATCAACGATAGGGGAAACATGAAATAATTTGCATAAATTATTTAATGTCTTCCACTATCGTTGATGTCCCTGGCATACTGTACTAACTATACAGTGATTCTTTATGTTTCCATTTCATTGTTAAATCAAATTTTCTATTGGTGAATACATAACTATACTAGCGATCAAGTGTGTTGGCCAGGGAATCCACCTGACAATTGTATTCACCGATAGTACAAAAAAAAAATTTATCAAGCGTAAAATTCCTGTAGTATACGTATAGTAACCCATAATGCAATTCTCATTCATCTGATTTGTCAGTTAAAGTTAATCTGACGCCCAAAAAATATAGTCCCGGTTCCCATGTAATATTTGTCAAAAAAGAAAATTTAATTCTGGACAGCAGAAAATTGTATCATAGAGAATTCTTATAATTTAAACTTGATTGAATTCAAGAGAGATCGATTAAGTACATATCTACAGAATGATATTATAGGGTTGTGAGAACTATATCGCAACATAATAGCTTTTCTGTTTACCGTGTCTCCAAGTGCTAGTCATTTCCTGGCCACATTTCCGTGAATGATTTACCCTATCTCGTTGAAGTCTGGCTAACTCTCGCCAGAGCCACTGTCAGAGCTACTCTGAATTCATCGGGTTTTATAATTTGCAGAACACAGAAAAATTAAAGGTTCCGAACACATTAGTAGGAGTGCATATGATTTAAAATTTCTCGAGAGGGAGGTTAAGCAGTATATAATCAATTAATCAATGTATGCTTTTTACCTTCACATACATTTAGCAAATACATCTGTTAACTGTCCATAGCAATTTATCAGATAAATCTTAAACAGCAATAGAGACAAACATGTAAGTATATATTTTGCAGATTGCTATCTCATTACGACGAAAAAGATTTAAGGAATATGTGAATGACTGGTGGAATCGATTGGACTGGATGTCAATGGGAGCATATCTTGGCGGAATGCTGCTTAAACTTGGCGAAGGGGAAGTATTTCGTACCGCATCAAAGACATTTTTTGTTTTGACATTTATCCTGATGTGTATCAGATCTCTTAACATGCTGATGATATCGGAAATAATTGGAGCCAAGCTTGTGATGATTAAGAAAATGGTATACCACAAATACGAGGGGTGATCAAAAGTTCGCGAACTATCTCTATATCTACAAAACCACAATTCAGATTAGAATGAAATTCGGTACACACGTAGCCAAACACAAGGTCTATAAATAGCATATACTGAATAAAGTTTTTCTCCTTGTTTGTGACGTCATAATGTGAATATGACGTCACTATGTAGGTCACTTGTAACGAAAAATGGTTGTCTCAGTCGAACTCGTTCAACAAATCACTGTACAATTTATTGTATATCTTAGAAATCCCTCTGCAGTATCACATAATAATTTGTACATAGTTTATTAAGATAAACGAGTTCCTATAAATTAAATTAATGATTGGGTTGATCCTTTTAGTGAAGGAAGGCAGATGGTTAAAAATGATACTTGTCATCTTGCCCAGTGAAAGCAAGTTTGAAAAGATATGTGTTTTTAATTAAGCAATTTGCAATCAAAGACCTCCAATTTACACTTTGAAAAAATAGTTAAATATTTGAACTATAATATAATTATTAAATACCTAAGATATCGTTTACTATAGATTTTAAACATATTAGATATGATAAAAAGGAGGCACCCATTTTCTATCCTTGAATAAAGGTCTCTCCCGAGACAGAAGATTTGTGTTTTAATGGTCGGCATGCTTATTTTTGGAAAGGATATTCTTATCCATCCATTCTCTTGCCGAGATTTGACCATTTCTGACAAACGAACTGTTCTTGTTATAAAAATTAACTCACATAGAAAGAAATATAAAACTCAGAAAAATCTTTCAACTTTTGTGACAGAACGCTACATAGGGGGTCACGTGACCGCAACTATCACGTGATTCGCGCATGCGCAGAACGGTGGTTGAGGTGCATTAAAATCGGAGAGGATTAATTTAAAATATAATCAACATTGAAACCAAATATTGTTTCTTTTATGGAAGTTATTCATTTAGTTCGCGAACTTTTTGATCACCCCTCGTACACAGTTAATTACACTGACAGATACACAATTAATAACACTGACAAATACACAATTATTTTTACTAACAAATACACAATTAATTACACTGACAGATCCACAATTTATTGCTCTGACAAATACACAATTAATTACACTGACTTTCTATCTTGTAACTTTGCAGTTGGTTATTAACAAAACAAAATACAGCGAAGTAGAGTCTAAGAATATCAAGAGAAATCAACTTTGCGGATTATTTTCTTTTTTTATACCTTTCCAACCATAATCAAATAAGAACTCTTCTTAAAAGAATAAAAATGGTCATTTATGTAAAGTGCAAAAAATGACAGTGAATCAAAAGCACAATAAATTAACATGTCCAAACTTAAGTAACTAAAAGCAACTAAAGTTATATACATCACCATCAAAGAGATAAGTAAAGTCAAGTTTGTATCGTCTTGTATGTGGGTTTTTTTTTCTCATTCTCATTAGTTTAAATATATATCGTCAAGGTATATTTATTGTTACATTTTAAATAAGGGGTGTTACGAAAGTTCATTTCAAAAAGTAGTACTTGACCAGGGACGTAGCAACAGGGGGGGCCAGGGGGGGGGGCGGCCCCCCCCCCCCCCACTTTTTTTGCCAACGATACTTTTACTATTGAAAATGTACATTGAAAGGCAGGTTGGCCCCCCCACTTTATACTAAAGTAAAGTAATGGGAAGGAAATGTAGTATTGTAAGCTTAAAAAATGGATATTGAAAGGGACTGGTAGTGAAAAAAATTTGTCTGCTCCTAGGTATTGTGTGTCGTGCGTCGTGTGTTAACATTTGAACATTTTCAGCTTCTTCTCTGAAACCGCTGCACCAATTTCAACCAAATTTGGCATAAAGCATCTATGGGTGAAGGGGAACAAAAATTATGAATTTCATGGTCCCTGCCCCACTGGGGCCTGAGGAGTAGGGCAAAACCACTAAAATTAATGCAATCTTAAAAATCTTCTTCTTTACTCCTGGACATCAAGCAGTCAAACTGTATGCGTGATTGTAATCAGCATTGATTCCTCTACCAAAATTGTGAAATTTATGGCCCTGGGGTCAGGGGTTCTGGTGTTAGGGCGGGGCTAAATAAGTATATAGTGAAAATGCATTATTTCTTTGAAAATCTTCTTCTCTGCTCCTGGGTATGAAATAAACCAACTAAGTACATAGTTATGATGAGCAAGAGTGCCTCTACCAAAATTGTGAATTTTATGGCCCCAGGGTCAGGGGTTCTGATGTTAGGGCGGGGCTCTATTGATTATATAGTGAAAATGCATGAATTCTTTGAAGATCTTCTTCTCTGCTCCTAGGTATTAAATAAACTAAGTGCATAGTTATGATAAGCAAGGGTGCCTCTACTACAATTGTGAATTTTATGGCCCCAGGTTCAGGGGTTATGGTGTTAGGGTGGGGCTCTATTTTGAATATATAGTGAAAATACATGAATTCTTTGAAAATCTTTTTCTCTGCTCCTAGGTTTTAAATAAACTGACTAGGTGCATAGTGATGATGAGCAAGAGAGCCTCTACTAAAATTGTGCATTTTATGGCCCCAGGGTCAGGGGTTCTGGTGTTAGGGCGGGGCTCTGTTGATTATTTTCTAGTGAAAAAACATGAATTCTTTGAAATTTTTTTTCTCTGCTCCTACGTATTAAATAAACTAAGTACATAGTTATGATGAGCAAGAATGCCTGTTCCAAATTTGTGAATTTTATGGCCGGAGGGTCCTGGGTTTTGGTGTTAGGGCGGGGCTCTATTGATTGTATAGTGAAAATACATTAAATCTTTGAAAATTTTCTTCCCTGCTCCTGGGTATTAAGCAGATGAACTGCCTATATAGTTATGATGAGCAAGGTTCCTAATCTTCCGTAATTGTGAATTTCAAGGCCCCAGGGTCAGGGGTACCATAGAGGGAGGGGGGCTGTACTTATATACTGAAAATGAATGAATTGCTTGAAATCTGCTCTTTGGTATTAATCAAATATTTTTGAAAAGCAGGGATGCCTTTTCAAGAATTGTGCAATGTGTGGATCTAGGCCTAAGGGTCAGGGTTCATGTGTTGAAATGCATTTTTTGTTCCTCTACCCTGCCTATGGGTATTAAGTAACCAAACTAAGCAACTGCTAAGTGTATAGTTATGATGATCAATGGTGCCTCTTTCAAAATTGTGAATGCCATGGCATCTGGCTTAAAACGTGTATCAAGTTCAATCACTGGAAAGTTGTTGCATAATGCTCAGGTGACCTATAAGGCCCTTGGGCCTCTTGTTTTCGTTATAGTATTTAATCTGTACCGTGTTTTTTTTCTTCAGTTCATGGACACATTTGCTTTCTTGACAATTATGACGGTGGTAAGTGGTTGCTACAGCGTGTCTTACTACGCCATTCTTTTTACGGACAACTCTGATTTGAACTTTACCGAAGTTGAAAGAATTATCCGGAATGGGTTTTGGATTTTATTTGGGGAGTTGTCCCTTGAATATGATAGATGTAAGACTTTTATTATTGTATATAGTATTATAAACAAATTGTATGCATGAATCTTCCTCTTATTTTTTAGTATATTCTTATGCGCAAGAGTTTGACCATGCTACAACGAAAAATAGTGGGATGAAGAAGGGGGTGGGGGCAAACGATCTTTATATAAAAAGATCCATATCTAAATGACAGCCAAATGCTAAAAACATATGGAGCGGTCAGTCTACCCCCCCCCTCCCCCTCATTCTCCGTACTTTACGTAATGTGTAAACATAACTGCGTGATCTCGCATTAAAACACCAATATTTTTCTACAGTTATAAAAGAATGCTTTTCTTTTTACTTCTGTTTATTGTTTATAGTGTTCGATTATTTATCTTTCACATTGCTAATAACAATTGAAATAATTTAATTAACGCTAAATAAATTATTTAAACCTTTGTAAAAAATTGGTTCTGTGACCAACATGAGGGATAGTGACGCAACGATAAGAATAATAATTTGAGAATAAATGTTTTTGTTGTATTTTGTAAATTCCACAATCTGCAATGCACATATACATGTAATATCTATCTATCTATTATTCAGTATTTTTTCTCATTTATTCCATGATCTCTTCTTGTCTCTTACTTGATCTCACGATCAAGGATATAAGATAGACTTGTGTTACTAATTAAAGATTCTAAAATGCATATCAATTCTAAAAAAAGAAAAATCTGTAACAAATACAATAATGCTAATTCATAGTCTGACCTAATGTTCTGAAAGAAAAAAAACTTTATGTATACTGTAATAACCGCAAGACCTAATAATGCCATGAAAAAAAGATTTATTTTATACACTGCAATAAAACATATTTGATATAGGGGGTTGACTCTAGAGTAGGATATAAATTCCAGTGGAAAGTCTGCTCTGCTCAAGTGCAGAATCACACCCATTCCTCTTTCCCGGAGAAATCTTACTCTAGCGTATCCGGGGTAAATTCATATTATCATGAAAATCCTTCTCAAAAACACTGCATACATTATTAAAAACAAACATACAATTATTGACAATTGATGATGTCAACCCGTAACCAAACGGACCTGGCCATGGTCAGGAATTGGTAGACCGAGGCCGAAGGCCGAGGTTAACCAATAACTGACCAAGTCCGTATAGTCACGAGTAGTCCGAATTCAAAAGTCAATAGCCCTTTTATTAAATGATCAGGAATTTTAAAACACTTGAGAAACTTTAGTTACTGTCTACATCAAACATAAACACTCATTATATACAGTAATGCATAGTGTAACAACACGTTAAATTTATATTTAAACAGGTTAACAAGTACTTGAAAAAGAAAAAAAAATAATATTATTAAACAATACTCAACCATTTACTAATAAGTATTTAAATATCCTCATATTGGCGTCTGCTGTCTTTATATTCACAACGACACATGTTTTAGAACAGACAATTTGATGAGTTGAAAATACTATACAGAAATCTATGACTGGTCAAGAAGGAAAACCCGAATAAACCTCCCGATTCTTTCTTTGAGGTGAACTCACTCTAAGGTACATCTCAGGAAAGACCGTCTAGACCATTCAGAAATCATCAAAATTCCTGATTTTCTAATAATCATGTAAATAAACCTTATATTTTTGTTAGACAGGCATGAAGTATTTCACATTTAAGAGTCTCCTACATTTACTGATGCTTTACATCACAGCAGATGAACATTCGATGACCTTAACAATATCACTTTTTTTCATTTTAGCCACACATTTGAGAAGGTTCATGAAAAAAGCAAGTTTTATTGGTCGCAACTGCAAACAGATTTTCTGGAAGAATACAGTGTGAAGAGCATTTTCCCAGTTCACTTCCAACTTGTAGCTTTATCCGTTTGTTTGGTCCATTTCATTTTTTGGTGCCCTTTTCATTTCTTATGGTCAGTCTGTAAAGATTGTAGAGATGACGTTTCCGATACCGATTCAGATTATGATGATTATTTTTATGACGATGATGACGATGATGAACTTGACCAAAGTCCCATGTTTGTGAGGGGTTAGTTTAAATTTTTAAAAAATAATAGAATTGCACGATAAGCTTTAGAGCCAAAAGATGCTCTTTCTTGGTAAAAAAAAAATGTGAGTCTGATTTGATCAAAACGTGGACTGAATTTGCTAAAGATGCGATGTGTTCTTGGCTAATGTTCTACTCTGACAAAGAGTTTTCACATATATAAAATAATATCGATTTATTAAAAAATAATTTCTTTTGTGAAAATAGGTACCTTGAAAGATATATCTTTGTTTCAGGACATTTTTCTGCCGATTATATCTATAGTAATTCTACATTATTGTTATTTTGAAGTACAGGTAATCAAACTTCTGTTTCTTTTCAGTTTTCCTATATGACACAAACTTCGATTTACAATTAAAGAAAACACGTGATGCAGAAGGCCAAGCTGCTATAAGAGCATCGGGGTACTTTTTTAAACTTATTTTTTTTTATGATGATCAAATTAAAAACAAATTGTAAATTACGATAGTGTCTCTATACTTCCATTTGGTAAATTATTTTTATAAACAGATCGCATAAAGTAACATAGAATTTCTCTTATTTGTATATTATGAAGAAAACTCGAAGTGACAGATGAAGACAAGTTTACGGTAGGTTCCTATAAATATATTTTTGTATTATAACGTTTTGAATGTACTTACAAGTACTGTACATGTTTTCACCAAATTATGCAGTATGCTCATATTTAATGTATATATAATGTACTCATATTCAAATAGATAAAGAAATCAAAAGGTATATTACTGCATTAAAAAATTATTTTGTCAGTTGCTCCAGAGGAAGATAAAACGGCAAAAACAGACCATTAAAGAAATCCATGACCATACCTCAAAGGTATTTCTTTTTACATGTATTACCCTGTGTCAGTGGTTCAAATTACGATGAAAATCCTTTTGTTTTTATCGATTTTCTTATTCTTTCTTTTCATCAATATTTTGCCCGGTTTATAATTTGAGAACCCTTTGGTCGTTGACAAGTAGAGCTGAACAAGAGGCCCACTGGCCTTTAAGATCATCCAAAACATTATGTGACAACTTTCCTACAATTAAATTTGGTTAGAGGTTTAAACCAAAAGGCAATGATATTCTCATTTCTTAGAAGGCATCATTACTCATCATATTATTATACTTAGTATGCTTAGTTAGGTTCCTTTATACCCATTTGCAGAGTAGGGAACAAACAAGTAGTTATAATCAGGAAAATCAATAATACCCCTCCTCAGGACCTCCTGACAATTGGACAACAAATTTCATAGTTTTTGGAAAGGCACCCTTGCTTATCATGTATAATCAGATTTCAAAGCATTTATTCATTTTCAATTCATAAATCCTCACAGCCCCTCTTTTTGGTACTGCTGACCCAGGGACTTTGAAATCCACAAAACATGGAGAAGGACCCTTGTTTTTCATAGCCATGTAGGTAGTTCATCTTCTTAATACCCAGCTAGTAGCAGAGGTGAAGATTTTCAAAATATTAATGCATTTACACTATAAAAACAATAGAGCCCTGTCCTAGCATCAGAACCCCTAGCCCGCCCTCAGACTTATCTGGTCTGTATTCTCTTGTCAGTCAAGTAAATTAAGGTCCATCACTGGGTATTTGAAATTGATTGACATTTAGCTACCTGTCCCTGTGTATAACTCTTTCACCCTGTTTGAAACTCGAAGCCAACATAAAATTAACTCTCAGTCTTCTGATGTAAACCGCATATATTAAATGTACCAGCGCAATAAGGACGCAATTTCAATGCCAACCATTTCAGCTTGACTATAATCTATTATAATTGTCTGTATTACAAATATGTCATTAAAAAATCAAGTTCGTCTCATAATGACTCAGTTAAATAAATAAAGCTTGTGTATATTATTCCTTTTCATGAAGAGGGGCGGCGAAAATTTTACGATAAAAAAGAGAAGAAAAATAAGCTTGTAACATTTTTTGCATGTAATGGATAGTAAAGATTAGAGCAAAAGCAATACATTTATGTTTCGTTTTAAGTTGGTTTATCATAATATAATGTACTCAAAATGCAGAACTTTACGATACCATTGCGTTCGCAAATTTTCACAACAGAACACATTTTTTTCTGAAATAGGACTATAAGACTTTTTATACAGACTGGAAGTAACTGTTACTATTGGTCGTGATCGAAGCTCTAATTGCCCCTATATTTCCGATAATTATAAAAAAGTTGTTAAAGATTTAAGAGACATGCAAGGATTAATATATTACCTTTGAAATTGTGTAACACAGACAGTTTATTGCCTCTTCCTGGGATTGAAACTGGAACCTCTAGCTTTCCAATCCAGTGATTTACAAATTGAGCTAAAGGATTAACCCACTAGCCCAAGCAAGTAGGATGTCATGTATTTTACACATTTACATTGTCCCCCTCCAGATAATGAGATATCATCTCTTTTGGAGTGTCAACACTTGTGGGGCGAAGTTCTAGGGGAAATCACTCTCACCCGCCAGAGAACACCAGGGTCCCAACGTTGGCGCGAAATGTAACGGAGACAATTTATTGCCTCTGCTGAGGATTGAACCCGGGACCTCTGGCATTCCAGTCCAGTGCTCTACCAATTGAGTTTAAGGGTTAACCCACTAACCATGTATCTTACACTACTACAATTGTACTGTACGTAATATTTTTTTAAATGAACTCAACTCATTACAACTGTGACATACTATGTAAGGTACCTACTGTAGACTTCTTTACAAAAGTTGGCCGGTGAGATTTCTTCTTATTTGATATTAGGCTCAAATTATGCAATTTAACAATCATCATTAATTACTGTTGATATTTTCTATTTTCAATGTTGAGATCTAATAATTTCATGATGAAATATAGGCCAAACAAGCTGTACAGATAATGCTCGTGGACCTCCTGTGTTGTTTTGTGTGAAGTGATAAGCGCTTCGCACGATCTAAACGACCACCAATGTCTCTGGGTATCATGCACGTCCCTTACCTTACCTGAAAAAAAGGTGCGTTTAAAAATCTCGGCCTTTATTGGCTTTACTTAATTTCACCTCTTTTTCAGATTTTGTCAGAGATAAGAGAGATGAAAAGAGATAAAAAGCCCTCAACTGGTTAGTATATCGTTAGAATTACGGAATAGTTAGTGTTTTGTTTGTTTTTTTCTATTTCTCTTCAACCTTGAACAGCCCCGTGGGGACCCGGGTTAGAATAGGTCCTCAGTACCCCCTTGCTTGTCATAAAAGGCGACTAAATGGGGCGGTCCTTCGGATGAGACCGTATAAACCGAGGCCCCGTGTCACAGCAGGTGTGGCACGATAAAGATCCCTCCCTGCTCAAAGGCCCTGAGTGCCGAGCATAGGCCTAAATTTGCAGCCCTTCACCGGCAATGGTGACGTCTCCATATCAGTGAAATGTTCTGGAGAGGGACGTTAAACAGTATACAATCAATCAATCAATCAACCTTGAACATTTTTTTTTACATCGACCCTATTTAAATACATGCAAACATTTACATATCTTCTGTTTGTCTAACCGAAATTGTAAGCATAAAGTTTTTTTTTGTATGATTTTATGTAGAGAACTCTATGTTGTGAGTGTGTAAGTGTTTTCATTCCTGTCACATGCAAGCCATATGACCAAAATATTTCAAATTTTCTTTAAACATTGCATGTCTCTTTTATCGAATGAGACTTTAAACAACATATAATTTACGTGTTACATGTATCTTCAAATTTCAGACTCAACATCATCAGATGAATCGGAGGAATCGGATGAAATCTACGGTAATTTTTTCCATGTTTCCTACAGTACTGACCAGACTCAACTTCATAGACGTGCTAAACTAGGGTCTGCTTCGCTTTCGCTAAGAGTCAGATATTTTAGAATTTGGGTACGCACTGGGTCACTGCGTTCGCCTGAAGTCAGCTCTGGTTGTATTATTTACATGTCGCGAACCCAATGTTCGTTTTTACTCAAGACTGTAGCGGACACCGTTTAGCCTACAACAACGTCGCGCACGGTATTGCCGTTGATTCTACAGCTTAACGCACTTTTAACTCGCATGGATTTTCGAACGAAATAAAGTCACATTTTTTTTGCAATAAAACTTAAGGGGGATGTACGGCCACCTTTAGTGTAGTGAGAACGAAATGTAAACATTTCTTCTAATGACTAAAATACATAACTGAATGCATGTTGTGCATATATAATCTATACTTTTGCAGAAAAATGCTTTTGATATGCTCCTTATAACTGCGCAGCCACAGAATTCAGCAAAGCCTTAAAAAATCCAAAAAAATACGCAAACTGTGCATTAATGTTTTCTCTACAACCATTTGTTGAGAAAATGTCTAAATTTTGCACTTTTAAATGATAATTTCAAGTTCAAAACGATGTATCGTTGTCTTCAAAAAGAGTGTAAAGATTCATGACAGTAGTTCATGGATAGCAGCACGTGGTCTATTTTTAGTACAGAATTTTGTTTTCCAGACCTCTTCTTAATATGGAGGGACATAACAATCTTTAAAATGTAGAAGAGAATTACAGTTGCAAAATATTTCAAATAATATGAACACTTTTAAAAGAGGAAATGTGTTATAGTGTTTCTTGAAGTTATTTATTATTTAATATCATTATTGTACAGTTGTTAAATAGTGTACGTATTGATATAAAAAAAATCTTAAACTCTTTGATTCCAGGTAAGGAAAAATGAGCACCATCAAAGTTAAAAATAAAGAGTTTGTAAGTCACAGATAACTTATATTATCTATCAAAAGTTTAATTATCACCATTGAATCACAAAGAAATTAAACACATAAAATCGATATGAATGACCTTGTGTTAGTACCTACTAGTAGGAGGGGTGATCAAAAAGTTCGCGAACTATCTCGATACATGTGTATCTATAAAAAAAAATTCAGATTAGAAACAAATTTGGTGCACACATAGCCAAACACAAGTTCTGTAAATAGCATATGCTGAATAAAGTTTTGCTCACAATGTGAAAATGACGTCATTATGCAGCTACTTGTGACGAAAAATGGTTGTCTCAGTGGAACTCGTTCAACAAACGACTAAAATATTTATGGTATATCTTAAAAATGCCTTTGAAGTAGCGTATAAGAATTTGTTCACAATATATCAAGACAAATGACTTCCTATAAATTCAATCAATGGTTGGATAGATCGTTTTAGTGAAGGAAGGCAGATGGTTAATATAATACTTGTTATGTTGCCCGGTGAAAGCAAGTTTGAAAAGGGATGTGTTTTTAATTAAGCAATATGCTATCAAAGACCTCCATCATTCAGCGTGGGTTAGAAGATTTAATGAATAAAAAAACTTTTTTTTCTAATTGCCCATTTTGTCAAAATTACAATTTTACAGAGTAAAGAAAAAAAATCAACATAATTAAATATTTTATACCATCTTTAAAATGACGTTTGCTGGTCCTCCAAACTCAGGGAAAAATTATTGGGTCGATATTTATAGGTGAGAAAAAAATTCCTTAAAATCTAAACATATTTGTTGATGGAAGAAAAAAAATATCGTGTAATGGGATGTAAAAAAAAAATTGAGTCGGGCCATTTGGGGGGGGGGGGGGGGGCTATAGCCGCGCACTGTTTTGTGCCATGATAGACATAGCATATTCAATGGACCATTCTTTGCAAGCATTTTTCTTGCTTCTAAATTTCAAAGAAACAGCTTCGTCTGTTCAATGGGCGAGAGCTTACAACGTTGTCAACATAATGAGACATGATGCTTTTTTATGTCCAAACATTACTCCATACAATGTGTGGGTCATTGCAAACAATCTAGCTTTTTATGTGAGGTGCCTGAAGGAAATCTTATAACTGCCTATTTTTCTGTCTAACTGCTGAACAAAATAGACATATGTACCAACTTTTCGAATGTAAGACATGTAATTACAATTTGTTTTTCATGCACTGCATATTGTTTAACTTTTTCAAATTAAATGCTAAGCATCCTCCTTGCAGTGCCCCATTTGAAAATAACTTCTATCGCCACAGAAAAAAGACCCGACGTAAACACATATGTTTAGGACATTTTTTATCTTTTTTCTTGAGTTTTAAAGAAATCAACAAATTATCAAGACTTGTTCCATGAAAAATTAAATATAATCATGGTAATAAACGCATTCTATCCACTGCAGATATATGCACATGCCAAGCACGTGCTCAGTGGAATAATATTAACAAGGAAATTCGAGCTGTAAACAGAACAGTTTTTCCCGATTTGCTGGAGTGGGGTTAAAATCGCGATTTTTTCATTATTCAGACGATGCGATGCAACAAATAACAGTAGTAAATAATATACCATAATGATTATTACTTAGCAATTTCTTGTCTTGATGTTATTATGGTCGCATTTATTCTAAAATCAATGTTATTCGAACTCTGTATGACAGAGTAATGGCGGACGAAATAAACACATGGCCTCAGGAATACTACCCATATGAAAAATCAAATTTTCAAGAATTATGGATAATGACAAGAAAAAAGCGAAACAAATGGTTGTAGCCATATTATCAATGAATCAAACTAACACCATTTTCAATGCATTTTTCATCTCGTGAATGCTGTAGCTGCGCAGTTCTAACATGATTAAATTCCTCCTAATTAAAACACATTAAACTTAATTATTTACTAATTTTGGTCTCTAACAGTAGGTAATTAGTGCATTAGCACTTTGAGTAACTTTGGGCTAGTTTAGTGGAGTATTAAGCGCATTCTTGGTATTTCTTATTTTACACCAGACTAGATCCAATATGGCTTGTACATCCCCCTTAAAATTATCGAGTTTCAGTACGAGACATAATCTTTATATTATTAAATATTTTATGTTTAAGGTACATATTCTCTCAAATCATTATCTAAAGTTTTAAATGTCAATGTTCTAAAAAGGAATTGATCCATAAATTGTATGATGTTAAAAGTGTGCAGTTCTACCATGGAAACCAGTCGAGCAGATGAGAAATACTTCTTCCATCTTGCACTTTAGTGTCATATTAATGTATAGAAAGTACAGAGGATACATGAACTGCACTGTTTCTGTATTAAGGCAAGGCAAAAGTATGCTTTAAAATGAACGGATACAAAGATGGTTGCATTTGACGAAAAACCATGAAACATTTGGAAACTCTCATTTTATATCATCCAAGAGTATATAAAAATCCTACCAATTATTATATGTGAATTATGTTTAAAGTAATGGAATATGATCAAAATTAAGTTATAAATCGTTTTTAAAATATATTTTGTTGTCATATTACACAATTTTACATTATAGCTATGTGACCTTAATTTGTGCAAAAACCATGTGAATTTAAAAAGTGCGTTGAGCTGTACATACTGTCAAATTATCACCCATCGTCGGATACCCACACGTGTGATCTTATCTTAACTCATTATCAGTGGACAAACTCGCCGAAAAATCGTCGTATGTAACTAGTTTGTGTGTATCATTTGATTGGCTGTTGCTCAATTTTTTTCCGTAGGTAACACTCCGATTGCTAATAAGTCCGTTCACCTGTGCATTTTGCAGTTTGAAAGAGGTACTCTCTATATATTCAGAATGTAAAATCTGACTTGTTTTAACGTCAGTGAATATATTGAATTGCCTTTAGTCGTTCTAAATTAAACTTCGCACGTGCGTCAACATATTTCTAATCAATGGAAAAAAATAACGTATTTTCAAAATTGAAGAATTCCAACCTTCTGACTGGTTGTCTATAAAAAAAAACACATTAGCATATTTTACGGCGATATTTCAGCGGTCCACGATTAGTGAGTTTAGACGTTATCAGCCGTGAGTATCCGACGATGATGCTAAAAGTTGAAGTACAAGTGTTCGAATATACATAATACATGTATTTTTCATATAAAGAAAAATTGTTCAAAATATACATGCATAAATTGCTCCTGTTTAGTTAAATTACTGATAGAAAATAAATAATATCATCCACTGCATCGTTCTCATTCTAAATAGCATCACGGTTCAACAAATATGAATGTAGAACGTTAATGTCTTTAAACATCCCATTCACCAATGTACTCTTTTGACGAGAACAAAGTTTACAATCGTTTACCCCCCCCCCATAATTCATTCCCCCATGACATGTTTGTTTTCCCCTGAAATTCTGATTGTGCTAGGAATCCATTTTGAACGTTATTTCATACGTCGTCTAAGTCCAAACACATTTAAAACTTGAAACAATCCCCCACTCTGAGAAAATATGTTTCTGAATTTTCAAAATTTCAAATTTCACGGAAAAGTTATATTTTTCTAAATTCATGTTCTCCGTAACGTCATCTTCAAAAATTTTTATTGTTTTATTTTACAAAACGACTTGTCATTTCACATTTGTTATTTCAAAGTTGACAGTGAAGCATATTTAGTTGAAAATGGGTTTACTTCGCTTCAATGATATGTTCAAATGTGAAATCTATTTCATTGTCTAAAAAACGAAATCTGAGCCCATTCTATTTGAAAATCGAATTTTTCTGCAAAAAAATGTACGCTTCAACAAACCCGTTCATTTAAATCACACTCAAAGACAAAGATAACGCATATACTTCGTACGACGTAGCGTAGTGGTAAACACGGTCGGTCTTGTGCAAACCCTGCGCCATGGAGAGAGTTCGAATCATATGTAAAGCTTTTTCTTTTTGTTTTCACATATTTTAAAAACGTGAGTAAAAAAATAAGTTAATAATAAAATATCAAAACAATGAAGTACAGAATTAAATGTGTAAAATATGATATAAACCATATAATTTTAATAAGTATAGCTTTCATTAACTTTTAGAATTGAGATATGTCTTTTCGCAGAGCAGGGGATAGACATGGCCTTGTACGCCTCCATTCTTAAAGTAGACATTCAATTTTGCTCTTGTTTTCATTAAAAGGTTAAGTTTTTTTTTATTATTTCCTTAAATATAAGGTTTAATTCATACACATATTCCAAAAAGAAAGTTTTAAACCTGCAGAAAAATTTCAATTTTATGTAGAACAGAATTTTTTTATATAGAATAGAGAAAAAAAACAAACGGAAGTATCGATCAAAAATGAATAAAATTCTTTGATCTGCATATTCCTTAGCGAGGGAGTGTAGAAAATCGAAACATGGGTCTGTTCTCTGTTAGATTGTGTCTGGTCAGTGCTTAAGGTCTTAGTTCTATTGGTAATTTTGAGCAAACAGTCTGAAATGTGCTATGCTGCAATCTGGTTTTACATCTTTTGTTTTATATTTTGTCGATCAAAAAGTTATAAAAAGGATCTGGTTTTTAGCTCTACTGGTCAGAGACCAGAAGAGCTTAAGCGAAAGTAATGCGTCCGGCGTCTGTTCGTCTGTCCGTAAACAATTTTTCAAAATGCTACTCCTCCTACAGTTTTCGTCTAATTTCAATATAACTTGGCACACAAATAGACTACACTAAGATACATAATTCTGTATATCGGTTTTTGATTTAATAAACGGTGTTGCCGTGGTTACTAAAAATGGATATTTCTGTGAAATTTCTTTCATAATGCTACTCCTCCTACAGTTTTGGTCTGATTTCAATATAACTTGGCAAAAAAGTAGACTAAATTACGATACATAATTCTATATATCGGTTTTTGATTTCAATGAACAGTGTTGCCGTGGTTACTAAAAAATAGAAATTTCTTTGAAATTCTTTCAAAATGCTACTCCTCCTACAGTTTTGGTCTGATTTCAATATAACTTGGCACACAAGTAGACTACACTAAGGGACATAATTCTGCGTATCGGTTTTTGATTTCGATGAACGTTGTTGCTGTGGTTACTAAAAATAGAAATTTCGAATTCTTTCAAAATGCCATTATTCCTACAGTTTTGGTCTGATTTCAATAAAACTTGGCACACAAGTAGAATACACTAAGGTACATAATTCTATTTATCGGTTTTTGATTTCAATGAACGGTGTTGCCGTGGTTACTAAATATAGATATTTCTGAGAAATTCTTTCAAAATGCTACTCCTCCTACAGTTTTGGTCTGATTTCAATATAACTTTACACACAAGAAGACTACACTAAGAATAGAAAGAGACTTTATCAAGGGTCATTTTTCGATTTATTGCTGTTGTAAAGTTTAAATTCCCAACTGCTTAAGTACTTTTCACCTCCTTTGCTATAAGTACAAACCAGTAGAGCTTCAGTCTCGACAGAGACTTCTGGTTTTGTAATTTAAAGTCAAAAACCCACTGAAATTGTCGTACACTATTTATAGCATGATTTTTATTTATCAGGCATTTAACGCATATAACTTTTTTTTCAGACTCGGATATTGAGTAAAATACTGATAACTTTCTAGAATGAAATCCTTATTTCAGTACTTTGTATTAAAGATGAATAGAGACTCCCAATGCATGTTTGTTTAAATATGATTTCAGAATGCCAAGTATTAGGCAGTTTGATTTAAAAGTCTCAATGATTCGTTTTCTAGAAGTTCTTACTGTAATTTTTTACTCAGTGAAAGATATAATTTAAAACCCTTTATTACACACTTAGTAATAAATACAGGTTTTTTGCATATGCGATATGGCTGACGTCACAATAGCCGTATCAACCCTGTAGGGCTGATATCGATTTGCAGGGCTAATATCCGTATCAGCCCTGCAAATCCATATCAGCCCTGCAGGGCTGATACGGCTATTGTGACGTCAATATCACACCCTTAGTAAATTAAACCACAATAACAGTACTTGTGATCATACACAATTTTTGGTGGGTTCATATTCTCTTAATTTTAACTTTTTGAAAATAAGGTTAATCTTAATTTACAAATACATGTAATACTATAGAATATTTTCAAATTACGGATCAAGTGCATTGAAATAGAAGTAGAGACGAACCCAAATCGTATGAGACATTAGACTATGTACATGTATGTAAGAAGTCCATGTATGATTATTTACTTATTTTCTTCTCAACTAAATGTGTTCTGTATTTTATTACTAAGTATGTAATAAATATAATAAAACATACCCTTTTCCACATCACATCCTGTATCAGCCCTCGACCAATATCAGCCCTCGGGCCTTCGGCCCTCTGGCTGATATTGGTGTCTCGGGCTGATACAGGATGTGATATGGAAAAGGGTATGTATTATTCTCTATTTATTACACATTTAGTAATAAATACATGTTTTTTGCATATGCGATATGGCTGACGTCACAATAGCCGTATCAGCCCTGAAGGGCTGATATGGATTTGCAGGGCTGATAACCTATATCAGCCCCACAAATCCATATCAGCCTTGCAGGGCTGATACGGCTATTGTGACGTCAATATCACACTCTAAGTATAAATTAAACCACAAAAAACAGCACTTGTGATCATACACAATTTTTTATTCTCTTAATTTTAACTTTTTGAAAATAAGGTTAATCTTAATTTACAAATACAGGTAATAGATTAATGTCAAATTACGGATCTAGTGCATTGAAATAGAAGTAGAAACAAACCCAAATCGTATGAGACAATAGACCATGTACATGTATGTAAGAAGTCCATGCATGGTTATTTACTTATTTTCTTCTCATCTTAATGTATGCTGTATTTTATTACTAAGTATGTAATAAACATATTAATACATACCCTTTTCCACATCACATCACACTGATATTGGTGTCTCGGGCTGATACAGGATGTGATGTGGAAAAGGGTATGTATTATTCTCTATTTATTGAGGCTATATCATTCGCATTTTGTATGATGTACATGTACATGTATTTGTTTTTCATTTATATTCTCATATTGATGTATCAGCCACGTAGCATCGTTTTTGAAAGTGGGGGCCAGCCAGAGAAAAAAATGACCAAACTCGAAAATCCTATTTCGGTGGGGTGGGGTGGTGGGGTAGATGCCATCTTTTTTCAATGCCAACTTCTTTCGGTACCAATTTTCCTGCTACTGTACTACATTTTCCTTGATATTAACTTTGTGTACTATAAAGTGGGGGGGGGGACCAGCCTTTCAATGAACAATTTTAATAGTAAAAGTAATGTTGGCAAAAAAAAGTGGGGGGCTAGCCCCCCCCCCCTCCCATTGCTACACGTGCCTGTGTATTAATTTTCCCAAATTTAATTTCTTCTCTGTTTTTTTGTTTTTGTTTATTTTGTTTTTGTATATGTTTCGAGATTTTTTAAAGAGTTTTTTAAGGTACAAAGGCTTATACCTTTCTGTAATTTTGAAATAATTTCATGCCACATGAAAGGTGTTAGACTAGTATCATAAAAGCATGTCTGTAATCTTGACGTGCGTTTGATTGTAAAACTTTCCTGCACTTCTTTCCAAAAAAAAATTCAATATTTTTGCGAATAAAGAAAATATGTATTATTTAATGTAATTGTGTATACAGGAAAAACAAAGAGATAGTTTTAATACCGCCATAAAATGATATTTATGGGGTCTCAATCGATTTCGGCCAAAGTGACTTCACGTACATCAGCTTTTTGTCAAGTGACATGGTTAAAATAAGAGAAGATATGTACGACACAAAGATATCGTAAAAGTTCAACAATACGGATAATTTTTCACTATGATATTGATTATGTTTTCTTTAGTGACTTTCCTTAACAATATACAATTTTTTCAAAGACTATGTCATTAAACAAACACTACTTTCAAGATGTTTACTCACAAAAAATTCAGGTACCTTACCAGGTATTGGTGCGAGATATACCAGATGATGGCATTTCTTATATAATCCTTTGGGGGGAAAATAGTTTTCCAAAATCACGTTTTTGCAAATGTAGACAATTTCTATGCATTAGAAATAGGTGTTTACCTTTTTATGATGGTTTAGCCCCCCACTTTCAATTAGCCCCCCCCCTTCAATTTGCTTCCGACGCCCATGAACCTAGCTGCGCTTCTCATGTACCTTCATTCTCTTCATTTTCTTTTATGATAGTATTTCTAATATATAAGTTTCCTTAGTATTCACAATTCAAAAGAATCTTACGAGTAGCAAGTATTCAGGAACTTCCAGCATCAGAATTATGCATTTGATCCAGTTTCTACATAATTTTCATAATACTGTTTACAAAAGTGTGCCTTTTTTAATGTTTACATATACCTCTGTCTATTAATGTCTCACATCTTAAAAAATATGGCGACTTATCTATTTATTGCAATAATTGGAAAATTTAAACAATATTCAATGAAAATAAATGCAGTTTTTGTACCTTGAACCATTAGAATTGTGAGGGTGGAGAGACTTTGAAGTTTTAAGAAAATAAATGAATGTGAGTGATTAAGTAAATTTTTCAACTACATGTAATGATTAAGAGCCCAAACTGCAACCCACCCACCCCCCAAAAAAAATATGGATTGGAATCTTCCGAAACGGGTTTCTTAGCTCACTTGAGCTGAAGTGAGCTTTTCTGATCACCCGTTGTCCATCGTCCGTTCGTTCGTAAACTTTTCACATTTTCAGCTTCTTATCAAGAACCACTGGGTAAATTTGAAAAAAAAAAGAATCTTGGTACAAAGCATACTTAGGAGATGGGAAGATTAAATTGTTAAAATGAAGGGCAAAGTCCCAGGGGAGATAATCAAGAAAAAGACAAATCTAGGGTGAGGCCATTACAAAATCTTCTCAAGAAACACTGAGCCAGGAAAGTTGAAACTTATGTGGAAGCATCCTGGGGTAGTGAAGAATATAAATTGTTCAAAACATGACCCCAGGATAGGGCAGGGCCACAATAGGAAATCCCAGTTTTAGATAGAAACACAAGTGTTTCATACTAGGTGACGCTGAAGGTCGTTGTAATTAAATTTTAACAAGTTAAGCAGGTGAAAGTCATTACATAAGATATTTTTTTAACGAACTAGAAACTTAAAATGTAAAGACATTAAAACAATTGTGTGCATGCCTCTTTAAATATACAATGTATTTGAATCTCTTATTTTAGGTGACCTGAATACAAAGTGTATCTGTCTAGAGGCTGTATATTTTTCTTCTCAGTTTTACTTTTTTTTCTTAATATTTCATCTGAAGATAATTTATTGAAACGAATTGTAAAGTATTTTACATGTATTGAAACAAATACCATAGTATCTGGAAACCGAAGATGAACTGTTTTACAATATATTATAGTATGAACTTTATTTATTGTATTTTATTTTTAAGCACCCGGATCGACAGGTCGGGGCGCATATTGTTTTTGTCCTTTCTGTGTCTGCAAACTTTATCCTTCGCCATAACTTTTGAATCATGAAAGATAGAGACTTGGTATTATGTATGTATACTCCACCAATTAAGTTCTTTCAAATGACACCAAGGTAAATGACTTTGTGACCTTGACCTGTATGCTAAAAATAGCTTTTTGAACCTTCGGCATAACTTTTGAACCGTGAGAGATAGAGACTTCATATTTCGTATGCATACCTCACAACTTAAGTTATTTAAAAAGACATCATGGACAATTGCTTTGACTGTGACCTATATGCTTTAATTGATTTTTTCGTACCTTTGCAATAACTTTTGAACCATAGGAGATAGAGACTTCATATTTAGTATGCTCACTCCAATAATCAAATTTTTTCAAATGACACCATGGCCAATGACCTTGTTACCTTGACTGTGACCTACATGCTAAAAATAGCTTTTTTCGAACTCTTGCTACCGGGCGCATAGTGTTTCACAAAAAAAATCTTGTTGAAAGGTGTGTTTATTGTATGCTTTAATTCATTTGTTCTGTTAACAATTTTCTTTCTTTGAAATATATGATTATAAAAAAAAAAATCACTTTTGTCCTTATCTTTAAATTTTACCACATGTATCACTGTTACAGACTTTCTGTACAGGTATAGCACACATATTTACTATATAATTCTATAACACTGAATATGTAATAATAAAATATCGTTAAAAAGGTATTTGAATTCCTGAAAAATATTTTAGCAGGAGGTCTTAAACATTACCTGTCACATTAGCCGACCCCCCCCCCCCGAAAGAGAATTCTAGTCAACTCGGCACCTGGTAAACTCGGCATCTGGTGAACTCGGAACCAAGTAAAGTGAATTCGGCACCAGGTATATTCGGCACCTAGTAAACTCGGCACCTGGTAAATTCGGCATCTAGTTAATTCGGCACCTATTTTATACGAATTACTTTTCACTTCTTTATTATATTTTTTATTGCCAATTAATTCAATTTTTCTAACATAAGGGGTTAATTAATTGAGGATTTTCGATTATTACACACTGTTTTTTTTTTATCAACATTCTTTGAACATTCTCCATAAATGTAAATAAGTAACAATTGAAATACTCGAAAGGGATCTAGAAAAATTAGTATGATAAAAGGAAATATTTTTAATATCATGGATCTACGTATCTGTTTTCTATATAAAAAATATATTTGCGTTGCCAGTGAGTTTTGTATGGAGTTTTTGAGCTAAAAATGATAATACGAAATTGAATATAGATATACATGAAATACGATGTGCTTTACATACGTTCAAATTAAAATGTTGAAAAATTGTGTAACCTGTATCTTTATATAAAGAATTGAAACAACAAGAAGGATCTTATAAATGTTAGTTAATCTGAGAAAAACGCCATATATATAATAGTACGTGGTTACAAACGGCGCTTGTTCTTGGTTCTGATTAGCAAACTTATTTATTTCTCAGACATTATTACCCATGTTTAATTATCTGTTGCCCGGTGAAATTGACCTGAAGATTACACGTAACTATAACTAGTATTTTGGTATGATATTTAATATTAATGATATGTGGAAAAAAATATGAATGTGCATCTATCAGCATCTAAATCTTTATTCATTAAACATAGCAATAACATTACGCCAGTCATACGTCTGTAAAAATGCGTGATTCACATTGATTTACTGGGTTGGAGGTCCATAGATGGAGGCACATTCTTGGAGAAGCTGGCTAGCATTTATCCCCCTTTCACAGTATTGCTGCCACAGATCAAAAATTCGTCCCTCCACTTGACGGGTCCTCTTTCTTTGATACCGCTGTATCTTCCCCTCCGACACCATCTTCATCTGTAATGTGATGTCCATCGCCTCTCTGTAAAGGACTAAAATAAGATGGTAGAAGGGCACGGGTCCCCTGGTGGCCACACTTGTATTTAATCTGTTGTGCCACCCCTCTACATCATTGTTGGTGCGGATGGCCGTCATGAAAACACTCCAGTGATGGATTTCATAGATTGGACTACGAATCCATGTTCTGTATACGTAGTCCATTACAGGAGCTAAGACCTCTGGAGCACGGCCATCCAGACGGTGGAAAGCATCCTCGATATGTTCCGGTGGGAGGAATGGCAAGGCGAGTAGCTGGCGGACGAACCTGAAGACTTTGTCCTTTTTGTTGTACGCTGTCATTTTTTTTTTTAATTATGATTTTTTTTTAAATACATACTGTTGATCTGTCTTGTGTATTGTCCATCGAAGCCAAAGACACATGGAATGTGGCGTCAGCGGGAGGCTCATATTCCGTACTGTCGTCTTGCTCCGCAGCTTCCGCTGCAGGCATTGCAGGACGTACAGGTGGAGATGCCGGTGTTGCGGGACGTGCAGGTAGAGATGCCGGTGTTGCGGGACGTGCATGTGGAGATGCCGGTGTTGCGGGACGTGCAGGTGGAGATGCCGGTGTTGCGGGACGTGCAGGTGGAGGTGCCGTTGTTGCGGGAAGTGCAGGTGGAGATGCCGGTGTTGCGGGACGTGCAGGTGGAGATGCCGGTGATGCGGGATGTGCAGGTGGAGATGCCGGTGTTGCGGGACGTGCAGGTGGAGATGCCGGTGATGCGGGATGTGCAGGTGCAGGTACCGGTGTTGCGGGCTGCGGAAGAAGTGGAAGAGCAGGCTCTGTATTTTCACACTTAGAACACGTCCATTCTAACTCTTGCTTGCCTTTTACCTGATTTCTGTACTGTGGTCTACTAATTCCTTAAAAAAATAATAATTTTAGTGAAAAATCATAAAAACAAAATACTTGTCTTCAATTTAATTTTATTTCTGCAATTATTTGACACATTTGATATTTAAGAATTAATTGAATAATTATTTTCTAACCAGTGTTGCATGTCCTGTGTTGCCACTTCTGACATTGGTCACACTGAACAGCTTCCTGTCGAGGGCGAAAAATTTGGTTGCATTGATAGCATTTGTCTGTAAAAATATATAAAGTATAAAAAATAATGCTGATCCTTTTGTACGAATTTCCTATAATTGATGTCTCAAAAAATTCGAAACACGAACAAAAAATGATACCAGGGTATTTACAACATTATTTTTCCAATATATAGGATTATATTTATTAAGAAATATCATATTCTCTGGAATCTCACACAAGTGCCCGGTAAGCTACCTGACTTTTTGAGTGAAGGTTAAAATAGCAATTTTTCAATAACAAAATTTTGGCAAATTAATGTACTAATATTGAGGAACATACAATGTATCGTCTATGCTTAAGCCCGTATACGTGCATTAGGGTTATTTTCCGAGATTTTTTGGTTTTGACAAAAAAAATGAACATTCAATTTGATTTATATTTGACTTTTTGACAGATCATCATGTTCCATATATTCATCAGTTAGCCAATATGAAAAGAATTGACATAATGGTTATAATTTCACTTCTCTAAAAAATTTTCTCAAAGCAGCAGGCTTAGTTGGAATCTACATGAGGTCGTGTAATTTGGGCTGTAAACGCACGTGTTAAATGACCAGACGTATTTTATTACCGAGTGTAGAACATTATAATTAGATGATGAATTATTTTACGCCTATATGATATAAATATAATGATAACCAAAAAATGTAAAATACATTTTAAGTTTTTGTGGGGAGTGGTCGCTACGGAAATAAATAAATGTTGAGTAGGGGCTCGTTAAATAGTTTAACAAATTATAGTAAAATAAGACTGCAGCGAGAAAATTTTAACTCCCCAGTAAAAAGATAATTCTCAATATAGCGAGACTAAGAGAAATATAAAAAATAAAAATACGAGATTATGTTTAGATTTCCATGATATTAACTAATTATTAAATAATATTTTTCATCGTTTTTAAACTTAAATACCCCCACGTTTCTAAGATAATGTGATGTGTCTGAGATTTAATGCCGATTCGGAAAAAGAATTGGTTGTTTTAGAATAAATCTATGAAACGCGATTGATTTAAATAGTGTAATTTAAAGGAAAGTCCTGTTTTTACAAAGTAACAAAACATAGAAAGATCTTTTTAATTTTTGTTTGTTTCTATTTATCAAAAATACGCCATATACGACTTTAGTAATTCAATATACCTTTCAGTTCGTATTAAAATTCGAAATTCTTCATTGACAAAGGACTTTATACAAAAAGAAATAAAGTTTTAAGGACCAAAACTTCCACATACGAACTTTCAAAATCATTTGTTACAGGGCGAAACTCTCTCTCTCTCTCTTGTAAATAGCGATATTAGACTGTTTAATTTAAAAATGCGACCCAAATAAATGTGGAATTTTTCAACATACCTTTCATTGCTGGTTTTCTTTGGGTGATGCAGAACAAGTGACATATTGACGTCTGCCTGGAATCCTTCACTATATACCCTCCTCATTTTTTGACAACTCACACTAATCGCCTTGTAATATTATTTTAATGAAAATCCCAGAAATTAAATGTGTAGATATAAGTGTTTATGATTTTTATCCAGTTTTATTTCAAAACATTTTTTTAAAAACGCATCGTTAAAAATGCCATTAATTAATTCTAAAAAGAAAATAAGTATATGAAATGTCACCAAAACATATTAACAAAAAAAAACCGAACAATAAAAGGAATATTAAAACCGAATTCCTTTAGTTTTAAACAAGTGTCTGTAAATGAGAAAAGTCAAATACGTGTAGTGATGTACATGGATTTCAATAAAATAACCGTTTTTTCTCTTTAAAGGCAAATTTATAAATCAACAAAGTAGTCACAAGAAAAATATTAAGAAAAAATGAATTAATAACACATCTGTCGATTTGTTTAAGAAAGGTGCCGAATTAACCAGAATCTGATGCCGAATTTACCAGATTCTGGTGCCGAGTTCACTAGGTGCCGAGTTCACTAGATGCCGAATTCACTTTTTCTTTGAGTGCCGAATTCACCAGGTGCCGAATTTACTTGTACCCCGTACACGGCGTTTTTTCTGATTTTTTTCCATCTGCAAACAGGGCTACCCTCAAACCCACTTGTTTTCAATTTGTTTATAAACATCTCAAGTGCACCTCAGGAAGTAGTCTCCTATACCCTGAAAAATAGTCCCTGCTATAAAAGCATTTATTTAATTACAAAGAACATAAACTTTACTAGGCACAGGTACCGAGGTTGTAAAAGTTGCCTGCAAGGTTATTTCTTAAACATATCAAAAGAAAGGAAAATCAATTTTATATGTTAATAACTATATTTTTTTATCATTATGATTGTTCATTTACCGGTGTGACATCTGGAAGGACCTTCGATTTTTTTTTTATTTCAGGTGCACAAAGTTGCATTATACCCCCCAAAGAATGACATAATTTACAGAAATGGTAAAATACTTGGTTGATAATAAAATCTGCATCTGATCAGTTATATTTGTATACAAGCTGCTGTGCAGAAGTTTATAGAAATTATGTGTTTAACACAGGGCAGTCAAAATGATATCAGCATCTAGGGAGGTTGTGGACAGCTCCTTACTCCATTAAAACTGGCTTTGATGATTAGTCATGAGGCCCATGGCTCTTAAATGTTACCTGAGTATAATGTAACAACTTTACAACAATTTAATAATTTCCTTCGTGTTTTAAACCAGGGTCACCAACGAAACATGGCTGAAAAATTACAGACTCGGCGTTACACAATATACAATCAATCAATCACAAACCAGAGGCCATAGCATTCATTGCTCGTCATAACTCTACATTAAGTACATTTAGTTTTGTTACCTAATACCAATAGACAGAGTAGGGGTTAAAGTTGGATTTATGATTAAAAAAATCGATGTTATTTTAATTCAGAAATCGCATTTTGTTGAAAAAAAAATGTTTTTTTCGATATGATTGTGCTTGGAATGGAATGTCTATACATTGTTTCTCCGACTCTTCTTTTAGCAGAGGTGTGTCTATTATATTAATACAAGAGGCCCATGGGCCTTATACGTCACCTGAGCATCATGCAACAACTTTCAAATGATTGAATTTGGTTCACGTTTTAAGCTAGATGCTATGGCATTCACAATTTTGAAAAAGGCACCATTGCTAATCATAACTACACACTTAACAATTGCTTAGGTTGGTTACAAAGATTTAATGTATTTTCACTATATAATTAATCAATAGAGCCCCACCCTAACACCAGACCTCCTGATTCTGGGGCCACAAAATTCACAAATCTGGAAGAGGCACTCTTGCTCATCATAACTATGTACTAAGTTAGTTTATTTAATACCCAGAAGCAGAGAAGATTTTCAAAGAATAATGTATTTTCAGTATATAATCAATA